AAAAAAAAAAAAAAAAAAAAAGAAGAAATACTGCCTTTCTAGGTTATATTATTTTTTCCGTAATTCTGAAAATGTTTTAATTTCTTTTCATGTCTTCTTTAATGGCCAACATTTTATTCTTCTTTACCACACTGAAAAACTTGTTTCCAAATTAACATTTATGAAAATTTCTAGTACAAAAAATTTAACCTAAATGGCTTCAGTTGTCAGGCACCCCGATTATGCCATGCATGCACATTTGCATTTGTAAGGAGCTGTTTTGTGCTTTAAATTCTTCCATTCTGGACATACTCTATAAGCCCACTAGCAGTAAACTATTCGAACTCTGCATTTCTATTCACTTCTTGTTAATTTACTCAGCAGTATCTATATAGCATACTGCTATAATCCCGTGGGCTGTTCAGTGAATTACCAGTTGACTGGCAGGCTCACCCTGTATTTTATTCTATTATTTTTATTCATTTCATTCTATTTTTTCCCCCTTAGTTATTGAAAGACTAGTTTGGTCAAGGGCTGTCACGAACATGCCAATTTCGTGGCCACATAAAAATGATCTAGTCAATGTCTTTTCGCTAATTGAGGTTGGGCACCTTCCACTTTCAGCAGGATCTAAAAACTAAGGCACAGGTACTCAAGCCTAGAGAGTATTTTTTATTTTTTTCTCCGCAGCAAGAAACAGGACCTTGGACGGTGGGTGGGAATCGATAAAGAAGGAGTGTCTCTAAGTCTTTAGGGGTAGTGTAATAAGAAAGAAGAAGAGGTAAGCAGAGCCCACAGCTTTTTGTCCCTCCTTTTTTTCCCTCAGGGTAGAGGTGGCAGCTGATCAGACACAATAGCTGGCAGTCCCCTGCTGAAGTGAGGATAAAAATGACCCTCAACAGCACCAGCAGGAGGGCTGGGAAAGGGGGAGGGGTGTGTATGGGAGGGGACGGGGATGAGAGTGACAAGGTGACAAACGCCGCCGCCGACAGCTAGCTCCACTCCACTTCAGCCAGACTAGGCTGGGAGCTGGTGAGCCACCTCCCCGCAGCCGGGCGGGGTGGAACAGGCAGACGAGGGGCGGTGGCCTTCCTCTTGGGGGCGGAGCAAAGGGTGGAGGGAAGCCTGAGTCAGCAACCTCTGATTGGATCGCGTCCTCCCGAAGAGTCTTCTGATTGGGCAGTTTGCAGCGGGAGATGTTGTGAGGCGCGGCGGGGCGGGGGGGGGCGCTGCCTGGTATTTGATTCCGATCAGCCAAGAGTTTGAGGTTTCTGTGAGCTGTGACACCATAGCACTCTACTGAGGGCGACAAGGTGAGACTCTGTCTCAATAAATAAATAAATAAATAACCCAACCAAATAAAGAATACTCTTAAGAAGTTAGATTATAGGAAATCCATAACTTATTACCTATACACTAAGGAGGAAAATATCAGCCTTTCAAAGTAAAGAAAGCTAGAATTGCTGTTAGCTCTCGCTTATCCATGATATTAAGGAAAAAGAAAGCTATTGTATCAACTGTGAAACCCAGAGTGAGTTCCAAACACCTTTTCAGTTATAAGGATCCCCAAACCTATTGTTTCACCAAATATTCACTGGAGCTGTTGACATGTAGCCACATGTTTTAAGTCTGGGTCTTTTTCCTTTCTTTTTATTTTATTTTTTATTTTTTTTTTTGTAGACAGAGCCTTAAGCTATCCCCCTGGTAGAGTGCCCTGGCATCAGAGCTCATCACAACCTCCAGCTCCTGGGCTCAAGCGAGTCTCCTGCCTCAGCCTCCCAAGCAGCTGGGACCACAGGCACTGCCCACAACACCCGGCTATTTTTTGGTTTCAGCTGTCATCGCCCAGGCTGGATTCGAACCCGCCATCTTAGGTGTACGTGGCTGGTGCCCTAGCCACTTGAGCCACAGGCGTCGAGCCTCTTTTTCCTTTCTCTTGCCCTCCCTCCCGTGGAGGTGTTAATGAGTGAATTGCCAAAGATGGGCAGCTAAAGAGAACACTAAGGGTTCCCAATTACAACCATTAGCCTTTGGAATGGAGAATGGCTGGGTATTGGCTTCTGCTTTCCAATTGCCTAGAGGGCGCCAGGCAGACCTTGGTCTATTCAGAATGTATTGAAATGAGAGTATATATTTATTAAAATGCACAGGGTGGGCAGCACCTGTGGCTCAGTGGGTAGGGCGCTGGCCCCATATACTGAGGGTGGTGAGTTCGAACTTGACCACGGTCAAACTGCAACAAAAAAATAGCTGGGTGTTGTGGCGAGCCTCTGTAGTCCCAGCTACTTGGGAGGCTGAGGCATGATAATTGCCTAAGCCCAGGAGTTGGAGGTGGCCGTGAGCTGTGTGATGCCATGGCAGCACTCTACCAAGGGTGATAAAGTGAGACTCTGTCTCTACAAACAACAACAACAAAAAACCCCACAGGATGCCAAAAATGTATATACATTTTTAAGAAAAGAAAAAAGTGTGGCTTGGCGCCTGTGGCTCAAGTGGCTAAGGCACCAGCCATATACACCTAAAATGGCGGGTTCGAATTCAGCCTGGCCAGCCAAACAACGACAGCTGCAACCAAAAAATAGCCAGGCGTTGTGGCAGGCGCCTGTGGTCCCAGCTACTTGGGAGGCAGAGGCAGGAGACT